TTCCTCAGGAAGAACTTCTTTGCAGAAAGGGTTGGAGGGGTGCCCAGGGAGGGGGTGGAGTGCCCATGGAGTGTCCAGGGAGGGCCTGGTCATGGCATTTGGGGCTCTGGGCTGGGTGACAAGCTGAGGAGCAGTCACAGGWTGGACTTTTCCARCCTCACTAATTCTGGGGTTCTGCAATGGCAGCAAGGCTCTTTTCAGACATGGACAGCCTCATTCTGTGAAAACACAGTATTTTTATTGTTACTTTGCAAATTGCTGATGTGTCTGTAAAACTGAGTACGTGTCTAAGGACTTTCTGGGGGTGTTCCTGGTTCGAGTTCCCTTACGGATTTTTAGGGAAGCACTTTGTTCCCTTGCATTTCACCCCGCTCTGGAGTTAGGTCTGCTGCTGGGATAAAGCCACTTGTGTTGTGTGCAGGAGCTCAGCTGAAGACCATGCACAACCTGCGGCTGCTGAGAGCTGACATGCTGGATTTCTGCAAGCACAAGCGCAACCAGCGCAGCGGGGTGAAGCTCCACAGGCTCCAGACTGCAATGTCCCTCTACTCAACCTCCCTCTGTGGGATGGTGTTACTGGTGGATAACAGGATCAGCTCCTACAGTGGAATCAAAAGAGGTGAGCCCTCTAACGGGGGTATCATCTCAGGGAAAAGGAATAAAATAAAAAGAATAAAATCTTGCCTTCTCTCACAGAAAAATATTCCTTGTAAAATTAAAATTCAGTGGAGACACTAATGTCTTGAATGTGGTATTGCAGCAGGGTAACAAGTGCAAAAAGAGATATGGATGAGGATGAAGGASAGTGTTGTGCTGTTACCGCTCATCTCTTCCCTGTGTTTTGTGTCTGAGTAACCAACATTGAAGAGGAACCTTGAGTGTTGATTTTTTGTAGGAGCTTCTAACTCTCCAGTACCAGATTATCACACTGAAACATATTTGCAAAAATGAGGAAGAAATGTGCTCAGATTTTAAAGTGATAAATTATTGTACAAAAGTAGTTTTGATACTGTGAGTGCCATTAACATGAACAATAGGAATATTACTTCTCTACTCCTGGAAAGTTTGATTATTAGATATTTTAAGTGCATTTCTTCTGAGTAACTGGTCACTGTGATAGTGTTTTCTGTCAGGGTTAACAAATGAATCTTCTTCCTGTTTGCCCTTCCCACCTCCATCTTGAAGTTATTATCAAAGTACTCACACGTGGAATGTTTTTTTTTTTTTTTGACTATTACTTGTCATTATTCTTGCATGCCATAAAAAAGAYATACTGTGGTGGTAGATGTTTTCTGGAAACAGCTGGAACCAGGCTTGTAGCAGGATGAAAAGGGAAGTGTACCAGAAAAAATTGCAGTTGCTTTTGTCCTATTGATGGTTTCCAAGTTTTTCAATTGTAACAGTATTGTTTTGTACTTGTACTTATTCGCAGTTACTTTTTTAACTGCTTAAATATTTAAATTAATAACCAAAGGGGAAGATTTATTTTTGTGGTAAATTTTAGATGTTGAGAGAAGACAGACACTTAGATAATACTATTAAACACAAAATTGCATCTTTTAGCCATTGACTAGATCCTGCAGCCACAGTGGAGGGGAAAGCATGGGACTGTGTCATAATCTGTGAAATAYAATTCTCAATAAATTTTGGAAGAGGAGTCCAGCAGGGCTTTATCTGCTTTTGGGGGCATTGCCTTTGTGGCTGGATTTACTTCATCCGTAGAGTAGAATTACATAACATTACTGAGCACAACCTCAGGATGTGCATTTCAATCTTATTTTTTTCCTAGATTTTGCAACCGTTTGCCAAGAATGCACGGATTTCCATTTTCCTGGAATCCAAGAACAACTTGAAATTGTCCAGAAGGTTGTACTTAAGGCCAGAGCACAGCGTAGCAGCAAGACAAAAAGACACCACGGTCAGTGACAACCAAAATTACCCTCCTTGAAATAGAGCAGTGGGCAGCTGGATGTTTGTGGGCAGGGGCAGCTTGATGCCACTCTTCTGCAGTTATTTCATCTGGAAACTGGAATGTTTGGGTTCATCAGGAAACTGCATGAAATTCTCCCTTCCCAGAGAGAATGTGATRCTCAGGTGGTGTCTTTGCTGCCATAACAGACATCCTTTGCTATAAATCAAGATAGAAGTCACATTTGAACAGCATGGGAAGTACATCAGACCATTCTGCTTTCCCAAACTACCTGTAGCAGCACAGACTTTATCTGTCTTTACTTTTTTATTACCAGTTTATTTAACTGAAAATCTTTGAAAAGTGCAGAAAAGGAGTTTATGACTTTTCCTCCTTCCTTTAAAGTGAATGCTGAAGACTGAATGCCAAATTGCCTAAATGTGTATACTTTAGTGCTGACCCAAGCTTTGTGAATGGTTTTCTTTRTAGTTTTTCATTTGTGGTGGTTACAAATGGCTGGGAAATGCTCTGACCAGTTGGTGTTAAGGCAGTGCAATTGTCCATCATGAAACTTTGTTTTCCTTGCAAAGAGCTGCTTATGTGATTCAAATGCATCAGGAACATGAACAAATATGAGTGTATAGAAAAACAAGTTTTCTTGGGAACCTGCATATTGCTGTATCTCAAGGGAAATGGTGAAAGCTGTTTTTATGCTACTAATTWATGTAAATCTGGTAGGGACAAATTTGCTTTCATTTATTGTATTATTTAGTATCAGCAAGATGCTATGTGGCTGGGGGTAATTTAAGTTTCATATTATACCTGAGAATATTGTGCTTTTTGTCCAAGTGAAGAAATACCATAGGGTGGTGAGAAAGGCAATGATTTGAGGTGGGATTCAGTCTGGGGTGTGTKGAAGACAGCAAAAACATTTCTACCCATCCCCCTGCTTTTTGGGGACCTTTTGGTAACTTCATGGTCAAAATTCAAGCCAGATAGCAGTACACAAAACTTTTCATGCCCAAGTGTAATTAATAGAGGACACGTTTAACATTTATTCCATGTGTTCATACACAGAAARCAAAATCAGTGGAAATGAAGATAAGTTAAAGACTATCGAACGAAACCAGTCCAACATTTTGCCGGGTGAGTTGTGTTGYATTGACCCTTCTTGAGGCAAATTGTGTTTTATACATGCACATTTTTAGCTGTAAAGTCAGAACATAAATTACAAACTAAACCCAAGTGACCTCAATCAGAGGAGAAGGATGTTCCTGTGGCTGAGGCAGAGGGCTGGGTGTCAGGACATCTGGTTTCTGTTCCCAGCTTTGCCACTGCATCACATGGTGTGGAGCAAATCACTTGTCTTTGTCTAAAATTTCCTTTTGGATTTTGAGGGTGAAAAAAATAAGGGAGTCTTGAGAAAAGGTGAAAGTTCAATACTAGCAGCTGATTGTATTTTTAAAATGGCTAGATGTACATCACTGTTRTCATACAGAAAAGCATTTTTTAGTGGATGCTTTAAATTTGCTAAATTCCTCTCTCAGGGAAAGTACTTTCTGTATATATTGTGGTGTTTTGTAAGGAAAGCTGCTGTGTGTGGAATGTGAAGATGAATATACTGTTGGAGGAGGGAGGAATCAAGTCCATGCAACCCATGCCTGAATGAGCGCTTCTYAAAATTAATTTCATGACTGTCTTAATGACTGTCTAAATCTTGTTAGTGGGAGGGGATTATAAATCAACTTGACCCAGATTATCCCAGGTGTATGTTGCAGCAGTGAACTGTGTGCTGCTGCTCATGTATGGTCACTGCTGGGATTTCCTGCCTCCTTAGCAGTCACCCAGGAGTGCAAACCTGTGCATTCCTCAGCTCAAAGAAAGGATCTGAACTTCAGTGCCCAGTGCGAGTAGGGTTGAAGGAAGATGTTTATCTGTCGACTGAAGCAGTGAGTGCATTGCTCACCTGCTTTTCTTTTGACTGTACTTTAGACTTTGGATCTCCAGTGCAATGGAACGATGAAGAGGCCTGAATTTCACTGCCCCTTACCTTTGATAAATGAATACCAAGTCTAAAAATATCCCATAGAAGATGTCTTGGTTACTTTTTTCAAACAGCTCTGTAACTCACCTTCCCACTACTYTGAATTATTTTAAATTCTAATGATCACTGATCCCTTTGTGTTGCAGTGCTATATCTCAGCTGTTACATAACCCACTATCTTTCTCCACAGGCYCTGTGATCCTTTATTTGAACCCATCCTTTTTTGGCCTTTCCGTCTCCCACATCTGTTTGCAATTCTGTGCTTGCATTGTGTATTTTGAGTATTGCACCTCCTCTGGGTTTGTTTTTCTGTTTTGTTCTATATAGAGATCATATCCTGTACTGGCACTGTTATGCTTTATTACACCACGTGGCCRTGATGCCAGTGGAACCCATCAAAGCAGGGAAGAGAGTGTGGGATGGATGTAGAACAGTGATATGCCAAGAGATTTTAAACCTCTTGTGTGTGTTTGAGGCCTCTTTGTGTCTGTTCTCATCTCTGCTGTGTATTTGTATTTGCCTTTTATCTTTCTTACATTGCCAAATGATTGGATTTCAGTACAGATCACTACCATGATTTCTTGCCTTCCTGCTGTGCCTTATTGTGCAGGGGAGTTCTACATCACACGGCACTCCAACCTGTCAGAAATCCACGTTGCCTTTCACCTGTGTGTGGATGACAATGTCAGATCTGTCAGTGTGACTGCTCGGGACCCTGCCATCATGGGGCTCAGGAACATCCTCAAGGTCTGCTGCACACACGACATCACCACCATCAGCATTCCCCTCCTGCTGGTGCATGAAATGTCTGAAGTAAGTTAATGCAACCTTTGGGCTGGGTTTWTATCCTTGCATTTTCACAGAGGGTGTGTTTCATGCTGATTTAGGCCAAACAGGATGKTTTTTCTCAGTCACAGGCTTCTGCCACACATGTGGCTCTTGGATCTACATGGTGACCCAGATTAAGGAGCTGGACCAATTAAAAACATCTCAGCCAAAWGAATCACTCAGAGTTTTTATTCCCACCCCTTCTTTTGGACAATTCACTTCCTGGATCCAGTTCACTGCACAGTTTTACAAGTATTAATTAAAGATGAGACTGGAATTCTTGTGGCAGCTGCTTTTGCTTCRAAACTCTACCTTCAGAGTTGCTGATGCAATAGTGATACCAGATCCCCACTTTTAATTCTCATTAGCCATAAAACATTAAAGCTAAGTGTTGGGAGCAGCAGAGCTGGCAAAGCTTGGCTTAGAGTTCTGTAAATCTAAACACTATCCTCTACCACCTCAGCCCTACACAGCAGCACCCAGATTTCACCTTCACTTGGAGCTGTCTCCTCCTTCCCTACCTGAGTTCTGTCCCTGTTTCCTCTTTAGGTCCCCCCCAAACACTGACTGCACAAGAGGCAGCATATTGTGATGTTCCTTCTGTTCTTATTTACTGTGCTGAGTTTTRTATTCTCTTTTTGTCCTGGCAGCTGTGACAAAAATGTGACTTTTCAGTGATCTCAGTCCAGTTGTCTCTAGTACCATAATTTAAGAGAAAATTGTTTTGTTAAAAAAGTAGAAATGAAAGGAGGGTAAGCTGWGTAACAAATATTTATGAACATGGTTTATGTCCATAGAGAGGTTGTTGATGGGTGCGTTAACCTCACATGTTTCTCTCTGTTTCCTGCCTTTCAATTTTTGTGTGCTCATCCAGTGTTTAGGATTGGCACAGATACACTGTTAGTTAAACACCTGGCTAATTCTTACTGAAATTAACCATTGAAGTTTGGTTGGAAATCTTTTTTCCACGTGATGTGTATGGACTTAACTGTTTTCATTGCCTGATTGTGACATTGTTCTGCAAAGGCCCAAGCCCTAAACAGCCCCATGTAGTGAGCCTGTCACAAATTCAATGAAAATAAAATAGAAAGGGTTTCAGAATGTATTTCTAATCAATGAAGCTGGTCTCCCCTCCCCACCTTTTTTCCCTAAATGAGTAGAAGAAATCTTAATTTGACAAAATGATTGCATCCTAAAAAGTGGTAAAGTGTCTCTGCTAGTTAATACCACCCAAAGTTCCAGATTTTTTTTTTTTGTACTTTCTTGAGTACTATTAGCCAAAACTCACTATAGGCAGTTGGCTGTTTGCTTTCTTGCTTTCTTGTCCTTCTCTGTATTTTGAATTGGGACTTAGCTGATCCTTTATCATTTCCACAACAGAGAAAACTCCTGGTAACGTGGTGAATTCATGAGAACCAACATTTGTGAAGATGGATTAGAGTTGAATCACTGCTATGTCATTTTCAGTTCTTGTGGCTTGCATGGCAAAACATTCTGTTATTTCCCTGAGTGCCTGCAAAATTGAACCTCTCTGTTCCTCTAAAATAGTCCAAGGAATGGTCTCATATCCTGCTGTGTTGATGAGTCCTCATAAGGCTTAGTTCCCATCACKGATTGTACAAGGAGAGTTTTTCTCCTTAGTCACTTGTTTTTTACCTAAGCCAAAGCAGTGATCAGAACCCACAATAAACACATTGTGACAGAAAGCACACGTGGGCAGATGAGTTTCAATAAAGACCAAGTGTTGCTTCCAAAATGCTTAAAAATTAAAAAAGCCGAAAGGAACTACAACAAGAAAAAATACAACCCCAAACTCCAGCACTGTTCTGTCTGATTAACGTGGTGGATACCCTACAAGCAGCACATAGTGATGCAGTGATTTACATCATGAAATCTTTTTGACAAGATAGTTCAAACTTACCCTGTTGTTAACATGCAGGGTCTTTTTAGGGGATGTCAGGAGATATTCCCACCTAAGCAGAAGCTTTGGCTTTCACTAGTTGTTTACTGAAGCTGCACATTCAGTTTATCAGTTGTATTATCAGTGGCTATTCTTAGGTCAACTTACTTCTTAACTTTCTTTAATCCTAAAAGTAAGCTCTTTGATAATGACAGATGGCACTCTGTGTTTGGCATTGCAAAATAGAGACTAGTTTTAGTGAATAGAAAATTATATAAAATTTAAATGTGAAAAAGTACCTAGAATGATAAATTTGTTTCCACACTTATATTACTTTATTCTGACTAGAACATGTTCAAGCTCATGTTGAAAAGCACATCAGAACAAACAGATACTGTTTCTTTCTTTCTGAGAAGTGTTTACATTGAGTCATTCTGGATCTAATGGAATTACATCATCATGATGTAATTGACTTTGTTGCATACAGGCAAARAATGTTTCATGAACTTTAAATGTCTCATGAACTTTAAACTTCAATTATTTTCAAGCCCAATGCTTGTAGCCATTTCTAAAATCACTGTGTTTTTCATGTCACATTTTGCTATTTAACTTTAGGTAAGGGTTTGCTGGCTGTTGATACCTAAAACTCCTTCATCAGATGAATTGTTTGTTCTGACTCTTAACATAAATGCATCTTTGGGGAAGAAAGTCTTCTTCCTGTTCAACTATTAGAAGTATTTTACTGAAGGTTGTAGGTATGCYAAGAAACCTTAAACAAAATCAGGACCAGACAGGGGTCATCATTATGCTGTTAAGATGTGGTCTTTGCCTTTTCTCTGCTGAAGCATGAACCTGACAATTATCTGTTGGATATTAGACTTTTTCTGCAGCTCCACAGGGAAATAGCCCAGTGGGCTCAACAGCATTTTTATTCAACTTAAAAATGTATATTGTTCTGACACTGAGAATCCTAGCAATAAGGAGTGGCAGTACTTTCATGGTCACCTGTAAGGTGACCTGCCTAGAATGATCTGGAAAATTGGGTCCCTAATGCTTCCTGAAAATTATGTTCTAAGGCAAAAAAGTGTATTACTTTTAATGATTTCTCTGCTACCTTTTCCAGTTAGATCCGTGGGGTACTGAGGCTTTTCATTTTGTCATTTTTAGGAGATGACCATYCCATGGTGCCTGAAGAGGGCAGAGCTTGTGTTCAAGTGCGTCAAAGGTACGGAGAGAATACTCCAGTGGGACATGGGGACCCAGTCCAGAGCAGGGACATCAACTCATTGGAGGGCTGGAGCAGCTCTGCTGGGAGGAAAGGGGATTGGGATTGTTCAGCCTGGAGAAGGGAAGGCTTTGGGGTGAGCTCATTGTGGCCTGGCAGTGCCTGAAGGGAGCCCACAGCAACGATGGAGAGAGACTCTTGACAAGGGCCTGGAGTGATGGGGAAGGGGCAATGGCTTCACACTGACAGAGAGGAGAGTCAGATGGGATATGAGGAAGAAATCGTTCCCTGGGAGGGTGGGAGGCCCTGGCACAGGGTGCCCAGAGCAGCTGTGGCTCGTTCCCTCCCAGGGAACGATTTCTTCCTCATATCCCATCTAACCCTCCTCTCTGTCAGTGTGAAGCCATTGTCCCTTCCCTGTCACTCCAGGCCCYTGTCAAGAGTCTCTCTCCATCTYTGYTGTGGGCTCCCTGCCAGGCCACAATGAGCTCCCCCTGTTCCTCAGTGAAAGGAAGCCATGGAAGGAACTCCTCACACCCTGTTTGGAGAACCCCCTCCCTTCTGGGTGTCACTGTGCTGCACAGTASGACTCACTGTTCTGTTCTTCAGTGTTGTCATTCTGCAGAACTCCTCGTTAGATTTCCCACATTTCATTCAGATTGCCCAGGTCTGATTTAAAGGCCATTGAGGACATCCCTAATTAAGGCAGTTCAAACCTGCTTATCTCTGATCGTGCTGTAACTGCTGGGGAGTATTACAGGTAATCCAGACAGKGTCAATGCTGCTTTTTTAGGTTTCATGATGGAAATGGCCTCGTGGGATGGAGGAATTTCTCGGACTGTACAATTCCTGGTTCCACAGGTRGGTGAACCTAATTCATATCCAGCCTAGGAGATTGCTGGTGAAAGGTTCCATGTCAACAGATCTAATTTTGATATTTTGCTATTGCCTGTCCCTTTTGAGTAGCTTAAATTAATCAATCTGGGCTTTTTTCCTTTCCTGTAAAAGAGGAGTAAGGGGCATTTATATGTTTGAATACCCAGTAGTATTTCCTGAGSATGCTAAAAGTTCAGACTGGGAAATTCATCTTTACAAAACAGTGAATGCATCACCTTTGAAAAAGAGACTTTTTTGCTGTTACTTACTCTGAAGGCATAGGCTCACCTTGCATTATAAGCCTTGAGGTGTTTGTTTGTCATATTATCTAACAACAGGGAAAGTTGCAATGCAGTGAGTTCAGTCGTGCTTCCACAGAAACGTTACTCCAAATGTTTGAGATTAGTTGGAATTAAGATTCTGAAATTACTTATTTGGACTTCTAGCTGTTATTCAGAAACAGGAAGTTTTCCAAAGGTGGCCAGCACTAGGTTTTCGTTGTTCCAGAAAACAGTAAAAGCAGAGTTACATTAGGAAAGGAATAACATGTATTTCTTAACAAAGTAGAAAGCTGCTGAGCAAGGAGGAAGCCACAAATAAGTTCCCAAGTTGAATCTAATTCTGGAATGCAGAGAGCAGGACTCCTGTAGATAACAAACAGCACCGTCCTGCTTATGTTTGGCCAAAATAATCAATCCCTGAAACAAGAAATCTACTGGAAACGGATGTGTGGATGTGTCTAATTATACAGCCAGGATTTTTAGGTCAATCTTTTTGTTTTAACTGGATTCAGTAGAATTGTAACACACAGTTTGAGAATGACCTTTGTTGTCTTCTGAACAGCAGAAATTCTCTTAAATACCAAGAAACAAAGTTGAGAGAGACTTAATTCTTCCAAACTACAGCAAAAAGCCCAAGTTTACCTGTGTGTTTCTTTTTTCCAGACCATTTCTGAGGAAATGTTYTACCAGCTGAGTAACATGCTGCCACAGATCTTCAGAGTATCCTCTACACTGACTCTGACCTCCAAGCACTGATTTCTGTGGAGCACTGATGTGGATCCTGTTGACTGAGGATGAGATTAGGAGATTCTGGACCAGGGCATCCCTTTCCTGCGGATTGATACCCCTGAAGTGGCATTTGTTACAATTTCAAGAATCGTGTTGTCATAATAAAAGATAAATGCTGTGTGTACTTGGGTGGTAGCAGCTGATTTATGCCTCTTGCTTTGTTTCAGGATTGTCAACAGGATTGATGCCGAGTTCCTCCGCTTTATCTGAAAGGCACTCAATGTAACTTGTGTGAAATCTACAGAAATATGTAGGTCATTCTTATACGTAGATAGTAGGAATAAGAACTTATGGTAGGAACAGGTTCTTCGGGCTGGTGACTTCTACAAAAAAATTCTGAATTTTCTTGTGACTTTTCAAAAATTTGGAGCAGGTCAGGTGTCTCCTTAGAATAACCAATGTAATTTGTCACAGTGACYGTGGAGTAAGATGTGTCACTGCCTCATTTTACTATTACAAAATGAAAGACTTGAATCAAACATTTACCCTGCTGCATTTTGTAGATCGTGRAAGTGTTTTTAAAAAAATCAAATTAATATGCCCTTGTGACAATAATTAGAATTTTTAAGTATTATTTCTTTTTTTTTTACAACTATGTTTGCTTTTTGCTTTATTTCCAGACTTCACATTGACCAGTTTATCAAATGAACAACTTTTATAAGAACACTGAAGTGTTCTGGACCCTGTTACACAGATAAAATTTGCTGCTTATTAATTAACATTTTATGACTATTCAAAAATGCCAGGGAGACAGCTCAAGGTGCAGCTATGAAATTTCTTGGGACAAACTTGAATCCAGTMAAAAAAAACCCAATGAAAGCACCCAGTGATGGGGGATAAAGGGRACGTTGGGAACTGCTTTTCCCCCATCATGGACATTTTGGAACTCAGCTGTAGAATCAGGAGGCTGAAGCAGCCCTTCCATGGGCACTGGGAATGTCCTGTCTGGAATTGGGATCCATGGGATTGCCAGAACCATTGGACTCACAGCAAAGTCCCAGTGGTGGCAAAGTCCCAGTGGTGGCATTTCCAAATGCACAGTTGTGCTGTGGGGGAATCATGGGGATCTTGGCAGAGCAGCCTTTGACTCAGAAACCTCTTCCTATTGCTGCTGAAATTCTGCACTTGGAAACTGGAGAACCTGAAAGCAAATTAAACCCCAAATTAKTATCTTCATCATGATTTTGTTAGCTTAAACAAGCAGATTGAAAAGCTCTGTTTTGGGGGAGCTGCATAATTCAAAGTTCTCAMAGAGAACCAAAGGAATATTCACCATTTCATGATGATTATAAAGCCACTGTGTAATTAACAGACTCAGTATTTTTATCAAGTCCTGCCTGCTGCAAGAAGCCATGTGAGTGACACAGCAAACGTCTCTTGCTGAACTCTCAAATACTTCCTTTTGCTCTGCCAGCAGCTTCTAAAGAAGAACCATGCAAGTAATGTGACCTAATTTGGTGTTGTAGAAAAGTATGTAAATTCCTCTAGAAGGAGCTGGATTAATCCTGTTAGAGCTCATTTTACATTGCTGGCCCTAAGCTGAAATCAAACTCTGGTCCCAGAAAAGCAAGTGCTCTAACACTCCTGCCTGGGAAAGGTGTGGTGGCACAAGTACTCCTTTTTAGAAGTTGTGAGACTTATCTGTGTTGGGAACAAGATCTGTGTTGCCCACTCACATTAGTTTTAYGTTTTCCCACAGCCAGTAAATCTACCAACAAGGGACACCAACAATTCTTGAGCAAATATCTTGCTAATAGTWTCTTGCTAACACTTCTAGATTCTCTGTTAATAAAATTTATGCCTGGTATATTTGCCAAAGCATGAAGACACTATTTAATTTTTTTTGTGTGAAACTGCCACTAATTTCTAGGAAAATAACTAAGCTTTTTGCCTTTTACTTTTGGAATGTTTGCTTTCATTCCAAAATGAAAGATTGCATCTAAACTTGTCAGCAGAATAACCAGTTGATCTTTGGTGCTGAAATGAACAAACAAACTCTAGTGATGAGATTTTGGAAAGTCAAAGTGGAAGGAATGGTATRGGAAAACTATTAATTCTGCTTGCTGTAGTCTGACCCTTGTAAATGCCGAGGGGAATCTTTGTCTGGAGGATCCATGTCAGAACATTTAATATTCCCATTTTTCACATGTGTTTTCAAGGAAGTGCTAACAGCAGATTTTTAACTGTTTTTCTAGAAAAACAGAATGTAGAGATGGGCTGACCTAAGCTGTACTTTCAATTTGGTCTGTGCCTGGCAGCTGTGGAATACAGGCTGCAGCTTATGTAACCACATTAGAAATCCCATTTCRGCCATGAAAAGCTATTCAAGATTAAGAGGAAAATGACTTAATGGGCATGAGGTTTTCTATTTGTATATGCAGTTCAGATTCCTTGGAAGGGTGACAGTGTTTAATGCCATGAAAATGTCATGTAAAATTATACGTGTGGCTTGAATGGAATAAAAAACACTTGCTACTGAGAGAAGTGAGGAGCAAATGCCATTATTGAGCTTTTTAACCTGCCCATGGTGACCACTGTAAACTGCAGGTGCCCTTTACAAAGTCTGAACTGAGGTTTTTGCAAGGAAAAAATGCCAAGAGTCTGGATTTGTCAAGGATGTAAYTTCCTGCCCTTCACCTCTTGTCACCAGCTCTACAACCTGTGTRTTCCCTTCTGTGGGAGCTGGTGACAGAGAGGAGAACAATGAGAACAGTGCAGGCAGTTGAACACATGGACAGAACCTGTCCTGACCAGGTGCCTCTGCCCTGCTGCAGTGCCAGGAATGTCACTGTTAGCAGGTGGCACTGCCTGGACACTCGTGTCCAGGTCACTCCTTCTGCAGTAGTTCACTCTGGACAGCAAAATCTGGAGTTAATGAAGCACAGCTTAAAGATGAGGCAGCTATTTCAGAGGATTGTGCTGTGAGGTAAAGGGCTGATGTGTGACACCTTCCCCTGTGTCTGTTGGTGTGTGAGGTCTGTGTCGACATTCTGTTATTTTTGTGAACTTAAAAATTGGTCAGTTTATTGTATCTGTACCTCATTTTCCCCTCAGTAGGGGAAAGTTTAATTTATGCTTGTGTCGTRTTTTAAGCATTAGTCTTTTCATGCCTCATTTACTCCTATTTTGTGCCAGTGCTATACCCAAAAATACAAAGCTATTCCCTGGTATTCACACCAGGTCAGCTGTGTAAAGAGATGCCTGTCTTCCTCTTGTATCTTTGCCTCATGGAGCTCTCAGGACAGACCATCAGTGCTGCATACAAATATGTTTATTACTTAATACTGTATCCTGGRTGTAGTATAAGTCAGTAGCAACCATAGGACTGTGGTCCCATGGGACACAGAATATTATYATTATTATCRTTATTATTCACAAGGACAWATAGTTTTATTTCTGGTTGTATAAGTTGAAGGGCTTGATTTATGCTATAATAGCATTTAATCACTAAGCTGTAATCTTACCCCAACCATCAGAAGCAAGTTCTTTTCAGGATTRTTTCCTGGCAGTTAGGCCAGATTCTGTTGAAGAATGATGATTCATAGTTCTTTATTTCCATTCCCATTTCTGTCAGAATAACCTGCAAAGAGAGAAAAACAACATTCACCCCTTATAATARAGGCTCCAAGAGAGAAAAGCCATGGAAGTGAGTCAATTTAGGATGTGAAGTCAGTGCTGCAAACTCTGCCAAGTGCAGCTTGGAGAAGATGAGACAGCTTGAGCAAGCACAACTTCCTCTGGACACTTCCTTTCCACGTGGCATTTTTTAATTGGGAAATGGACTGTGGACTTCAGTACGTAATGCTCAGTTCTGGTCTCATTGGCCAATTTCTCTGCTTTCAGAACAAGCATGAAGCAGTATTTTCAACCAGCTCTATGCAGGGCTGAGAGAAGGTGGAGAAATTATCTCTGCTGGAGTAATTATCAGAACCATAGGAAAAAAAAAAGTCACTGAACAAAACAAGGCTCTYGTGTCATGTCTGTAACACAGACATAGAAATATGAAGGATGTAGTATCAATTATTCTACATAACATAGGAAAAGCCCTCAAAATCTGGCAGTGTGAAATCATGCAAGCACTCTGCATGGACCAGCACATAATGGTGTGCTTTATCTCACTCTCAGAAGAGCCACRGTAGGTACTGATATGTTCCTGATGGCTGTTGCAGATCACAACTTCTTCTAAATCTTCAATCACTGGGAACGCAGGGAATAAATATCCTGATAGAAAAGGCACCATCCTTGTGCAGTTTGTGGCCTGCAGGATGTGATGTTAGCTTTAACTGCTTTCCTGGTTTTTATTTTGGCATTCACCTTCTGCTCTGTGTTTTGCTCATGTCAGTTCAATGTCTACCATTTAGACTTACTCCAAAATTACAGAGATGTATCTGAGAGCAGGATTTGGCCTTGTGTGCCCTTGCAAGGGTGCTAAGTTTGAAGAGATACATACAGAGCAACTCTGGCTAAATGGCAACTGAAGGGGAATATGAAAAYCATCTGTGAATATTTAAAGGATGCAAAGACTAAAGAGGAGGCAGCTTTGCACTGCATGTTCCAAGAAGAGATAAAACTAACAGATAAAACCAAAGGRAAATAGGAAAGATTTAGAGAAGCAATGTTTCTGAAAACATAGAAATCAGTCCCATAGTGTACAAACATTCTCCGAGAATGGAGTGATATCCACAGCATCATTTCCAAGGTGACAGAAGGATGCAGCAATGACTTTATKTTATAAAATACTCTTAAACTGCCTGGGAGATGGCAAACTAAGGCTTCATGTCTGCCTTTCTGTTTGGTCAGCTGAAACAGAGTTCTCCCTCCTTCTCTTCCATCTTTGGGAAGCACATGGATGTCCATCTGGGTCCAGACAGATGTGAATCATCTCCAGATAGCTTAATAAACTGATTRATTTTAAATCTGCATAAAGGAGGATCCCATGGATAAAAACTCCACATTTCTTCAAAAGATACTTTCCATGAAAGACAAAACTTTGGGGGAAGAAATACTTAGATTATGTTTAGAWGGGGAGGTAAAGAGAATTATGTGCTCCAAGGCACTGTTAGCTCTTTCCTAACGGCCATTGGCTCACTCTTAATTGTGCCAAATATCATCAGAGCACCTTTGAGATCCAGTGGTTTCCACAGGAGTTCAAGGCCCTTGGTCCACAGGCAGAAACAGACCCTGTACCTATAATTGCAGGAGTATCTTGAACTGGGAGGTTACCAATTGAAGCTGACTTGGTTGTCTCACAAAAGTCTTATTTTAAGGTCCTTAAACTGAACCATAACAGCTCCTGCCTGGCATAAATTATAATCCTCCAAAATGCTCTGTCCTCTCTCATGCAGGTCATTTCCAGTGCCTGTTTCAGCTGTGTCCCAAAGAGCAGTTTTAAACCCCAGCAGAAACAGCCTGACCCTGCAGACATGGGCTGTTCCTTCCTCTGCTCCTGGTGTGCACAGTGCCCAAGTTATCAGCGTGCTCCTTGCCACAGTGACATCCCACCAGCACAGGCCAAGCTCCTTTCTCAGAAATGAATCCTTCTCCCCACTCACCAACCAAAGATGGCAATTGAGGAGCTTGGCCTCAAGCTTGACCAGCTACACAAGAGGATGTGAGTGCTTCTGTTGAATAGTTCTTTGGAAACCACTGCCTGACCACCAGTTGTTATCTTGGATGTGTTTTTAGCCATTTTGGGCACTTCTCCCTGCCCATTGGAAGTGGTTCTTTCTTTCAAGCAGTCCATAAATTACGGGCAAGTCATGCAAACTGATGTTGCTACATGCAAAACGGCACACACCACATTTATATCTTACTTTTGCTTACAGTTGGAAATCTTTTGCTGCAAGAGCACAACAACGTTTTCTAGTTTTTCTTCTCCCCATGATTATTTTACAGCAAGTAGGTATTTCTGGATGAGGAGAAGCAGCCCCCTTCCCTGGCTGTGAGACCCAGCAGTGGGTCAGCACCTCCTGATGGCTGAGAAGTGCTGTCCCCAGGGACAGGGGAYATCACAGACAGGGGTCTGTAATGGGATCAGCCATTTCTGATGTCTTCATCAATTGCATGGACAGTGGGATAGACTGAACACTAAGCAGGTTTGAAGATGGCACCAAGCTGAGGGTGCAGTGACACACCTGAAGGACAGCAGGCCATCCAGAGGGCCCTGCACAGCAAGGACAGGGAGCTGCTGGAGCCAGTCCAGAGCAGGGACACCAAGGGGATCAGAGGGATGGAGCAGCTCTGYTGGGAGGAAAGGCTGAGGGGATTGGGATTGTTCAGCCTGGAGAAGGGAAGGCTTTGGGGGACYATTCAGTATTCCAAGGGGCTTTATAACAAAGATGGGGACAAACTTCTTAGCAGGGCCTGYTGAGAYAGGACAAGGGGCAGTGGGGTTACCTTAAATGAGGAGCTATTGACATTAGCTAGAAGGAAGAAATTCTTTACTGTGAGGGTGGTGAAACACTCTCACAGGTTGCCCAGAGGTGGAGGGAGGTAGAGGATGSCCCATCCCTGGAAAGATTCRAGGTCAGGCTGGACAGGGCTCTGAGCAACTGGATCTGTTGAAGGTGTCCCTGCCCATTGCAGGGGGATTGGGCTTCATGACCCCTAAAGGCCACTTCCAGCCCAAATGATGCTGATCCCATCAAGAATTTGGAAGGGCAGGCTCTGCACAATACATGCTGGAGCCATGTCTTTTGTGTATTTTCCTCTTTCTTTTTTTTTTTTTTTTTTTTTTTTTTTTTTTTTTTTTTTTTTTTTTTTTTTTTTTTTTTTTTCCTAGGGAAAGATACCTTTAGTTGGGACCTTTGGGAAACTTGGGCCATGCACATAAAGGAAAGAGCTCTCGTGCCTATCGGAACACAAACCAATGCCTCCAGTTTGGAGTATCCAAAACAGAGCAGGTTCCTTTCATTGRGGGATATTCAGGGCTTTCAGAGCCAAGCCCAACTGCCTGCAGTTTAGCATATCTCCTAAACAGGGATGTTTGGAATTGCAAGCTGTTTGAAAAGCCTGGGTCTGCAATGACACTGTGGAGCACAATCTGGCYGTCCCCAGTGCTCTCACTGATGGCAGTGATGCTGTCACCAGGGGGTTTTTAAAGAAGCATTCTGCCCACTCATAACTGGCCTSCTGGATCACCTACTTTTACTAATCCATCTTAATTTGTATAGTGGAGTCATACACAGCCAGACCTGCCAGACTCTTASAGAAACAAAGGATGAAAAACATAAAGCAGTCAGAGAGGTAAGGATGGGCCAATCTGGGGATGGTGTAAGAGTCTTTGCTTTCCTCTTGGTGTCAGGAAGACACCGATGAAGTACAGCAATCCAGGACCTATTACTGTGCACTCCCATGGCCAGTCCTTAAAGCAGCTTCTCAACAGGGAGATTATTGTGCCATGAGCACAATTAATTGTCACAACATTATTTCCATAAGAGGTTATTGCACATTAAATTACAGCATTCCCATGCCTCCAGGCTTCTTGTAACAGTAGGAGAAATGGTGGGCTGGAGAAGACAGCTGGGTTTGCACGTGGTCTATGTCAGTTTACTTAAGCAGAACCGTTTCAGTGCTGCTGGAGGAATGCAGCAAAAGGTCAGTGCTGAAACTCCACTAAAGTAAGCTGAGCACACATTCCATCTGCCAACATATGCTCACTCCTTGCCTGATCAAAAAGGAAATTTCAGAGCTCTGCTGCATGCTTGCCTTGACCCTGCTCCACACCGCCTGTCCAGTGGGCATCAGACAAACCATTCCTTAATCCTGCATGGAATATGCATTCTGCTGAAAGGATGCTTAGAATAGCTGCACATCAGCAGCAGCCATGTAATCCTAAAACTGGCACGTGCACAGGGAGAAGTGCAGGACAGCATGGACAGGGATGTCCAGAGATGTGTTCCATGAATCATGAAATATGTGGGTTTATTTCTTAGTCCTGTGTGCCCATCACAACCTGATCCTRTCCAAATGAGCCTCATCTTTGCAGGGGAAAAATAAACTCAACCTTGTTGTTCAGCTCTTGCATTTTCTTTGCCTGTCTTCTTCAAATGTTTAATCTTCTGGAGTCTACCTGCTCTGGTCAGTGCTAGAGGAGGAATTCTGTACTAATGACATGCACAAGGAGCTGCACCAACTTAACTGGKCTGTTAAAAACTGCAGAAGTGAAGCTCTTGTAGCTACAAGAGCTGATTTAGAACATGCCCTCATAACATCCCYTGATAAAAATAAGACTGAGGCTTTTTAATAGAACAAATTACTTAGGCTTTATATTTAACCATGGTCACTATAAAAGCTATAACTGGTTTTCAGAATATTTTAGGAATCTGATCTTGATCTTCCATATGTTAAAAACCATCACAACAAATACCTTACACTGTGGATCCTGATGAAGAAATAACAAGGTGGCTGCAGTCTTAAACACAAAACATTTGCTTTGGGCTCAGATTTGCTAATGTTCAGAGTAACTATCAGAAATTGCCATTTCAAGGCAAAGAAGGAGGCAGCCTTGAACCAGAGAAACTCATAAACCTGCATGATTTTTGTAGAGAGGGCACTGATGTTCTAGTTACTCATAGCCAGCTCTCCTCAGTGGGAAAAATGGCAGCAATATTGAGCCCCCCTTGATGCACTGAGAGCAGAGGATATTTTGACACAGAGAGGTGGGCTCCTTTCTGAAAACAGGACTTGCAGGCTTTAAACATGTTATGCAATGACCATTGTAATGAACCAGATTGAAACAAGATTAACTCATCTCACCTTGCCTTTGGGCTGTGCCTTGAGAGGAAGCTTCAGGTCAGTTTGACTGTAGAGACGTGGATYATGAGGAAAACATCCAAAATCATAGAGATAAAAAATGTTAGTGTTAAAAAGATGAGGTTAAAGAATGAGGTCTTTGATGGCAGAGACCCAACCTGGTTTTTTTTAAATATTGCATTTTACTATTGTATTTTACCATGTGTGATTGATGACCACATAGAACGAAATCACAATGAACAATGATYTGGAGAGTGGAAACAACATGCTGCATGAACGTGGCAGGCATTTGAGGAAAAATCCATCACCACCCCCAGATGAGTTTATTTTCCCTGACTCTGCAAGTTTGCAGTTGGCAACAATAAATTGTAGGAAAAGCTGATACAATGAGGGTAGGGCTGGCATCCAGCTGGAGCCTAGAAAGCTGGAATAACAGGCTGACAGGACTCTCATGCAGTCTAGCATTAAGAAATGCAGAGCCTTGACCCTGGGAATACATTATTGCTGGCAATAGTCCAGGCTGGGCACTGATTGATTGGGGAGCAGCTTTGCTTTGAGAAGAGGCTCATGGGGATCATGGTGCAGAGACAGCTGAACCCAAAATTGCAGTTGTGGTGAGGCGGGACAGCACAGACTGGGCTGCATTAGCCCAAAGGTGGCCAGGAGCCCGAGGGATGGGGAAGGGTGCATTACCCATCAGTGACACGTCTGATGTGCTGTGTCACTTTAGGGCATCCCAGAACGGGAGAGAAGTGAGCAGGGAGCAGCTCCAGTGGAGAGCCCCAGGGATGCACAGGGAGCACTCTGAACATTTTCAAGCACAGGCTGAAAGTGCTCTCAGCTGCTTCTGAAGGATCAAGGGACTGCTCAAGTGTTTGAAGCCATTTTTGACTGAAGGAAAAAAAGCTCCTGTTTGCCTTGGAAAGATGCCTTTTGAACAAGGTCCTGGACATCATCAGAGAAGTAATTCTGTAATCCTGCTGTGGAGAACTGACAAAATTGTGTCAAAAACACATGTCTTCTTTGAGCACAGAAGATGCCAAAAGGCTGCAACCCTAACAGCTCTATGCAGGAACTGTGCAGGTCTTGTAGAATGGACAGAGAGCAGTGGGAATGGGAAGAGGGTAGGAAAGGAGAAGCCAAAAATAGGATACTTTCCATGGAAATTAAACAACACATCACAACCGCTGTCAAAGACAAATTACAAACTTTAGACCTTCAGATGTTGCCTGCAATGCAGGAAAAAAAAACCCAAAACTTGAAAAACCCAGGAAAAAGTTCAGATGATGTCATGATAGGCTGGAGAATTCTCCTTTGAAATATGAGGGAGGATCCAGATCAACGGCTGAAGAATTGACATACAAGAGAAAGTCCTCAACGAGCTAATGGTGCACAGCACAAGGAATGGTTACCTGGCAAATGACAGAAATTTCCTTTAATATTCTGTAATGGATTACAGCACTTAATCTAAATAGTTCTGTGGTCAAAAGTCACACAGAGGTCAGCCGGGCCATTGGACAGAATCTCATCATCAACAGCAATAAAAACAAGGGCTTTCTTTGCTTTCCTACACAAAATGATATTGAAACRTGGCATTTAGCATGCCTTTTCCTGTAGTGTCCCTGTTCCTGCTGTAGTGAGAAAACTGTGTGGATAACAAACTCAAACCAAATTAAACTTGTCCCCTGTCATTCATCTCCTCTAATAACTAACACCAAGCAGATCCCTCTGGGGGTGGTGGCTGGCACTTGTGTTTTCTTCAGCTGAGCCCTTTACCCTTGGGCTGCCTGTCCTYGTGGGGTGGGAACAGCTGAGGAGGTGATGAGAGAAGCAGAGTGGGCTGCTGAGCACAGCACCTGGTAGAAGGCACAGGTTTGCCACRGAGCCACCACTCTGTCCTCTGACAGTCATTTCAGGGGGACACGGAAAGGGACACATGGCCAGCTCAGGAGACAAAGATGGGCATATTTGTGTGTGTGCTTGGCATTCCCTCTGCAGAGAATCAGTTTAGCATGAATAAGCAGTAAACCAAAACCTTTTCCCAAGCAGGCTAGAATCTACCTAGTCCTAAATCCTCCAGAGTTTCCTGTGGCAGTAGATCCTTTTYCCCACTTCCCTCCAAAAAGAAAATAGTAAGAAACTGTTCTGTGATCTCTGCTTGCCTGTAAGAAATTGGCATGTGAAATCTCAGCAAGAGATTTATTTCCCTGTAAAAAAAATGGGGAGATAATTATTTTAGATGACTCCAAGTTGTTWAATGTCCACACTGTCTTGCCCAGGTGTGTCTGAGTGGTGTAGTTAAGACCCTCATGTGTGGGACAAAATGTAGGTTTCCTGTTAATATCTTGGCTTCCCATGACTGGTGATGACAAACCATGTTTGAGTGATCTTGTGCACGCTTTAGGAGCTGTAATGGAGATAGTTTTGGTCAGGAAGTTTTCTTGCTTCAGCCCCCCAGAGCTCAGCAGCTGCCAAGAGTCTTAGGCAAGGATCTGTTGTCTTGTTTATTCATGCTGGGGAGCAGTATGACAACAAATCTGCCTCTCTGTTGGTTTATAGRAAGAGAAATAACAAATGCAGTATTCTACAGTCCTTTTTGTCATCCTCCTGCTACCAGAAGTCAGGTATTCTGCTGATTAATCATCTGTTATGTGGCCCTATCCAAATGAGCCTTGATGCCAACACCACACTGCTCAGTGCTCCAGTTCTACAGCTGCTGGTGGGGTCCCTGGGTGTCATTGCAGCCCTGCACCCCTTGCTCTATGATTTCTTTCCTGCTGGTTTCAGACTGTGATTCATATTTCATTCATCAGGGTCCTGGTATTTGTGTTACAAATCTCTACGTGCTGGCCAGCAAACCCCATTAACCTAAAGGTGATCAGATGGGGCTCCACCGTCAGAATTGGGCTTGCAGATTTTTATGCAATTTGTCCATAATCTGCAACACTTGCCCYGCCACAAGAGTCAGATTTATCACCTGGAAATCTCCTTTCTCTACAGTGCATCATCAGCCTGGTCTTCATAGGCAAGGTGAACAATTTTAGTCTGTCCTTCTGTGTTTGAATGAAGGATTGGTCTTTCCAGGCCTTAATATAGGGAGAGACTTTTAACAGATTTGAAAATTAAACTAAGGACCCTAAGTCATCACACATTTTTTGAAAGACGTGCTCTGCATTCATATCATGTTACTGCTCAGCTGCAGGACTTTTCTTAGACTATCTGAAAGTGGATCTGAATTGCTGTACTCCAAAGAGGGGTTATTTTAGTATTGTGCTAAAATACTGACAATGAAAACTTGTTACTTTAGCGTCTTAAGAGTTCAAGTAAGCAGAGTTTGATTGCTGAAGTAGATTTTTACCATTCTGCACTTCACAGGGTTTATTTTACTGCAAATGCTATTGGTGTCTCCCTTCCAAATTTCACCAGGCACAGGAAGACGCATGCAGAGGTACAGACAGATGTTAGCATGAGGGTCACTCAGAACGAGGGGCCGTGGCTTTGCAGGATAAACACAAACAGAGCTGTGGCCACCCTGAACCAACTGCCCCACCAAGCACCCACCGGCCGTGGCACCAAGGAAGTGSCTGCAAACCTCTCATTGCTCACTGATGAGGTCCAGAACTCTTTTTACACCTTCTTCTCTAAATAAGGAAGCTGCATGTGAGGCCTCTGACTCCCTGACCAATTTGACTCCTTCGCTTCCCACAGCCAATGAAATGGCACTCCTGCCTCCGGTCTTGGGTGACAGCACTCCAAGCTCAGCAGGCAGGAGGACAGCAGGTTTGTGTTACAGCCCTGGCAGCCTCACCTTGGGCAGCCTGCTGATGTCAGAGTGATGATGTGGGCAGGGACAGCCCCTGCACTATAAAGATGGCTCAATCAAATATAACAGAGGCTGCCCAGTGGGAAGCAGGATCTACAAACCATGGTCCCCACCAGCTGGAGCCCTGCTGGCCTGTCTCTGCTCCCAACCCAACTGCTATCGGGCTTTAGTTTCAGGTCAGCAAGCTCTATTTGCTTTCCAAAAATAAGCCTCTGCCACCATGCTGAAGGGAGAAAAACAAGAAGGGCGGTATTTTTAGGGCCATTAATTCTGACCACGTGCCCAGGAGGTGAAGCGGATGGCCACGGCACAAAGAGCTCTCATCACTATGTCCTGCGACGCCAGCGTGCAGCGGACGTTGCCTGCGTTCCTCCTGCTGGCTTTGCTGGCCGGGATTGCTTCCACRCAGCCAGCTGTAAGCAGAACTAATGGCACATTGCTGGAGAGAGGATGGCAATCACTGCTGTCCAGGTCCATGGCTGGGATGTCAGGGGACAAAGCAGATGTGAACTGGGAGAGTGACTATTTGCTAGGAATCAAGAGGCAGCGGAGGCTTTACTGCAACGTGGGCATCGGGTTTCACCTTCAAATCCTCCCAGACGGAAGGATAAGCGGAGTTCACAATGAAAACCAATACAGTGAGTTGCATCCAAAACTGAAATAGATGTCACTTAATTGCTGTGAACTCTAGTAATTTCCCTTCATAGAGTACAAATGTTATGATTTGATATTATTAATCTCTGCTACCTCTGTTGCCTTTTAAAAGTCCCCGAGATCAATAAACATGAGAACCCTTTGGGCTGAAATGTGGCACAAAATGCTCAGACAAATTAAGATAGAATTTATTTTTACCTGCTTTGTTGCACAGATGACAAAAGACAAACCAGATTGAAAACGGACTCTTTGCTACATTTTCTTGCTCCTCACCTTCTCATTTGCCTTTTGAATCCGGGAGGTCGTTGCTGAGTTCAGAGTGCCAAAGCATGATTTTTGAATCCCAGCCGAACAGTATTTTTGGGACACTCAATGTGTCCCATGGAAGGGGCTTGCTGTTCCTGGTTGGCTCGTTCTTGTAGGTGCTGTTCTGTCACCCTAAGAATTAAGGAAAGCATTAGTCATCTGGATTTGAATTTCCTGTAGAGGGCAGTTGCTAAAATCCTTTGCAGCTAAGATGTCATGTGGGACTTCAAAATGCAAGCCACATTTCTCTGAGGCTCAGTAAAAAACCTTTTGTCATATAGCATATTACATAAAAATAATTTTCTTATTAAAGAGGTCCAGAGTTTGAAAGATCAAAAGAACCCAATAGAGCAAAAGGCTTCTACAGAATGTGACTACAGTTCTAGAATAACTATTTTCAAATCCTGTGACATGTAGGAAAACCCAAGATCTTCTCTGTGTATATTTATTTTGTTGTACTAGGGAGATAATTCTCATAAAGAATATATATCAAGTTTGTTAGAGTATGAAAAAAAAAGATATCTGAATTTCCTTCCATTAGCTCTAGATTCTGTGATAACATTTCTGTTAAACTTCACATTTTTCAGGTCTCTTTGAAATATCCACTGTAGAAAGAGGTGTTGTAAGCCTGCTTGGGGTAAAAAGTGCTCTCTTCATTGCAATGAACAGCAAGGGGAGGTTGTATGGGACGGTGAGTACAAGTGCAAGTAGTTTTTCACAGTTTAAACAAAAATGGTTTTAAAGTAGCTTGTTTTGGTTTCGTGTATTGCTTTGTTTGTAGTGCTTGCTTTTGGTTGTGTTTAGTTTATTTAGTTTTTTTCTTTATGGAAATCTCTGACTACAAGCAGAGAAAATAGCCCTCGAGTTACAGGGAGCCTGCCCAGCCCAGTGCTATTTAATGCAGCGAGCAGAGTGGCTGTTACAGGGCTGGGATTTTAAAGCTTTCTTGTGAGGCTGTACAGGGAATACTTTAGGAAAATRAACCTATTCTGCAAATTGTACAGATTTATTAGATGGCTTCTTTGAAGCTCACAGGGCTGCAAACACGATCTAGCAAAGCTGAGTTCAGTTGATTCCATTCTGCATTGCATTGTGTGTAGGAGAGGCACAATTGGAGCTATTTCCAACACTGCCTTCAGTAAAATAATGACCACATGCTCCCTCCTACCAAAAMCAACCACACCATGAAGAATAAATAGGAAGTCTACCCTAGGAGGTCAACATATGTGGCTGCATTATTTTAATGATCAGTTTTGTGAGATCAGTCGCAAAGGGAGAGAAAACAACTACTATTCACAATGGTGTTCAAATCGTACTGAAATTCCATCATCCTCATCTAAACGCAGTTTAACCTCTGAGATGTGAGCAACACATCTCCAGCCTCAACATCCAGCAGAAAAAATGTTTGTTAGGAGGTGAATTTGAAAGAGGCTGGCTCTGGGCAAGAGGCAAAATCAGCCCATCTCAAAGTAATGAATGGCACTGGTTGTATCCATCTCTTTTGTTCCTTTGGAGCAGCTGTAATTCCAACAAAGCATTGCAGTTTTTGAAAAAATGCCAAATGTTGTGAAGGACATGGGGCTGGTTCTGACCTGGCTCATTCCTTCTCACACAGATAATGACAGTGCGACAGTTTACGGTTCTACCCTAGAAATATTCCTTCAACTATGTCTAATCAACAAACACCTCAAAAGTGCCACAAGCCCAAGTGTTTTACTTAAATGTGTCTTCCTAAAGAAATGCAGGCTCTGGCCTCAGGAATCCCTTTGATTTTTTTCTGCCCAGTTTCAATACAATTTTGTTTATCTTCAAAGGCACTTTCAAAAGCTGTAAGAGATGTGCATTTTCCCTTCCACAACACAATGCCTTAAGTTAAACTCTTCCAGGCTTTTGGTGGTGTTATCCCACAGATGCCCAAATAGAACAGCACTGTTGGAACCTCATGTGCCAGACATTCTCTTTTACTTTCCTCGGCATTTGTCTCCTGCTCGTCCTTGCACCTCCTCTCCCAGATAACTCTCTCTCCTTGGATTCCCCTTGGAGAAAACCAAAACTGTTTTCCCAGCTTACAACCAGCTGCATAGTTAAATATCACTAATGGTTTAAAAAAAGAAAATATTTACTGCTGATCAAATCTCTTTGTTCTCCCTGGACACTGCTGTTTGGAAGAGCACTGAAGGTTTTGATAGCCAGCAAATCTTTTATAAATGACAGGATTTCTGGCAGAGAGGAAGCTTTTAATAAAGCTGTCATCTGGGCAAGAGGGCACAATGCTGAGAAATCCTTACTTGAAAATAAAATGAAGAAATCCATGATTTATAATGAATTAACTCGATCTGCCACAGGAAGTACACAGTCCATTATCTGGACAGGTGGCATCTGAGTTCATCTGACACCAAATTAGCACCGAGGAGGGAGATTTACTGTTGGCCACAGTGGCTGCAGTGCCACCTGTTGCACACTGCAATGAGCCCTGGTGTAAAAATGCGAGGAAGAAAAATGACCTGGGCCTTGGTGGAACATTGCTTGTACCTGATTTGTACCCCCACCCCTCTCCCCTTGCTGTTCCTTAGGCTGTTTTCCAAGATGAGTGCAAATTCAAGGAAACCTTGCTGCCCAATAACTACAACGCATACGAATCCAACATTCACCGCGGCGCTTACATAGCCCTGAGCAAACACGGGAGGGTGAAGAGAGGGAACAAGGTCTCTCCAGCCATGACAGTGACCCACTTCTTACCTAGAATATGAACACCAGCAAAACAGAAGATTCAATCCCAGAAAAAACTGTTTCRTTTTGCACATGGGGAATAACCTCCCAGGTAAAGTATTTATACAGGTCATTGAAAAAAAAAATATAAATCTCTATATGTATATGTATATGTATATTAGGATAAAAATATTTGTACTAAATTCATCACATAGCATGCACGTGATGCTGCTTCTCTTCTACTCTGTACAAATTTTACATGGCTGTGTGCCTCCTTGGTGCTGTACAGAGGAAAATGCAAGCTGGAGTGCAAAGGAAGTTTTTGGAAGTTACGGAATGGCTGTGAGCAACCATCTAATCAATCATGGGTTATTTACTAAATATTATTTACCTCAGACAATAACCTCTTGTAGTGAGCTGTTTACATATCATGGGCCAAATCAGCAGATGATTTTGCTTCACCAGAGCTTCAGGCAGTTCACTCCATCTGAATATCTGCCTGCATCCTCCCTCTACAGACTGTGTCTTGTCCTGTGAAGTCCTCAGCCTATTCTGATCATTAAGGTGCCAATTCCACAATTGTTTCTGCACAAGCAAACTGCCTATCCCCAGAGCCCCTCTGTCTCTGAAGGGTCTCCTCACATGGACTGGTTGGCAAAATGAAGACCTACAACAAATTTCCCATAAGAAGGGCCACAGGATAAATCACAGATAGGTCCCAAATAYAAAACTTATTTGGAGCTGAGAATTTTGAATGGCATTTTGTGAGTTAGTTTAGACTTACCTCATAGATGTGTACATCTTTAATATTAATATTTGTATATATATAGACATGGGATGTGTGAGTGTGGATCTATGTAATAACATACTTTTAATGAATCAATCATCCCAGTCTCCCAATGCCCAGGTGCCTTTATATGGGTATACATATGAAAGAACATAAATGTTTGAAGGCATTCTATTCCATTTAGGCTGAACGTTGTTAATCTCTAACAAATCGAATTGGTCTGTGGGATGCATTTTATAAAATGTAAGRAATTCATGGAAGCTTCCAGCAAAGGGTTATTTTAGAAAACACTGTGTTGAATTTTCACTGTCTTAAGTGTATTTGGTTTTTCTCTAACATACCTCCCTGAGTTATGAAGGACAGAGAAAGAAGGAGGCTACATAAGCATACCTTCCCATGTTGCAACAGAGGAATTCATGCCATAATTCCAATTTCTGTCACTTGCAAAGCATCAGTTTCAAAGACAACACAGCAAGCTGTATGAAACACTCTTCAAAGCTCTCCTAGAAGCTGTGCAAATGGCACATAACCTTGCCTTGCTATTTTGGCAACCCTTTTCCAGATCACCAATGAAGCTGCATTCTCTGTGCCTTTGAAAGAGTATTTTAAGAGACCCTAAGTCAATAGTCACTATAAATGTCAGTTACCAGAAGCCTTGGGATTCTTGCATTGGTGGTGTGCTCCTAAATTTGAAACTAGATTCAATGCCATGTCGGARCATGAGCATTTTCAGCATAGATGGACCATGCTGCTGCAGAAGGGAATATCTGAGTGCAAGATTATCTCCCACGTCAAGCCAAAATGGGGCAATGTCCAGCCTTGACATGCCATTCTATTTGCAGGGGCTGTCTATTCATGATGAATTTGAGCCTTCTGACACACATGAGAGACACTGTCAGGGCCAGATCCTCAGCTGGAGAAAATCAGCCCAGTAAAACTATGGGTTTATAGCTGCAGAAGGATTGGTCCAAAAGACATCCCACAAGGATGTACCTGCAGCCACCATTACTGAGAGATTGCCATGGCAGTTGTTTCGTAAACAAGATAGTTTTCCAGCATCTTTAGTGTCACACTTGAATTTATCTGACTCCAAGGTAAGTGGTGATCACAGTGTAAATGAAGCGAGAAAGAGTGGAATGCTCCTCACTGTACATGAACAGGACAGTTTGGATGATGCTTTGGAAGGAAAGGAGCTGCTATGAATTTTTCCAGTCTTGCAGTATTTTAGCRAGAAGACAAGTTGACACACTTCATTCATCCACAGCATGTGCAGCAGTTTACTTTGGAAAAATGTGCATTTGAAGTGAAAAATCAGGATGTTTTGAGTGAGGAGAGAGTGGGTCAAAGAAAAGTTTTGAGGGTATTAGACAGTACACTGACCTAGAGTCCCTAGAGGTACAGTGAGTTGTGCTGAAATACGTTAGCTGGCAACCTGTATCCCGATGTTATATTCCTATATGTTTTTGAAATTAAGGTTGAAGAAGTATGGAAGAGTTACMGGGATGTTGAAGGAAACAAGAGTTCAAATGCTGACACATTTCTGATCACTACTTAAATCGGTGTCTTTATGACAGGATAAAGTCTGTTCCTTCTTAAACCAGGGCAGCCTAGAAAGTTATTGTTGCAATAGGATAGCTGACACGAAAGGCGGCAATCAGACCCACTGGCTCCATTTTGCACACACTGGTCAAGTGAGGACAACTCGTAAACCAGGTCACAAGAAGTCAGGACAAGAAGAAATGGCTTCAAGCTGTGCCAGGGGAGGTCCAGGTTGGACATCAGGAAGAATTCCTTCACTGAAAGGGTGGTCAGGCATTAGAATAGGCTGCCCAGGGAGGTGGTGCAGTCACCATCACTGGAAGTGTTCAAGAAATTGCTGGACGTGGCTCTAGTCTGGTTGACAAGGCAGGGATTGTTCAAAAGTTGGACTTGATGATCTTGGAGGYGTTTTATAACTCCAATCATTTTAGAACTTCTAAAAATCTGTTTAGGCATAGCCTGCTGGGCTGCAATTGCTTTTAAGAACTGCAGACCCATTTGGATGCAGTTTTGGTGGGCATTTGGAAAGCTCCATCACTTAMTCCACTGAGTTACTCCTGACATCACTGTTTTTTCCCCATTACATGTCAGTGCCAGCCAGATCAACATGGAAATCAAGGCTGAAATAAAAAAAGGATATGTGACTCTGTAAAGAAAACTCACCAAGTAAACGGACTCCCAAATCAGGGTCAAATGAGGAACTTCTAAACATATCTCAGTGTGCATTAACAGGGGGTCATGCCAGGGGCTACAAGCTTGGAAAGCATTGCTGTGAATGCTCCATTCCAGCCTGTCGTGCCCACATTTTGCACATGGGATTCTCCTGGGGAGCTGATACCTGCTTTCAAGGTTTCTCCTTCSTTAGGCAAATCCCATAACAGTCTAAGACTTAATCCACCCCGTTGGAAAGCAGACTTGCGGAATTCTTAAAGATAAATTTTTCCCAAACATGCAGAAACATGTACACCCACAGTGGAAAAGCTGAGTCGTATTTGTATACCTCACTAACGATGTCAATTCCAAGATTTTATTTTGCACAGTAAAATGGTGCCAAAGTTCTCAGATTACCTTTTTTTTTCACTAAAATATACCTCATATTCTGACTCAATATGGACTCACACCTAAGACTGTAAATTTGCAAGAAACACAAAACTGTCCAATCAATTGTTTGTGAAATTGCTTCTATTTTTATATGTATGTGCTGCGCACAATAGTTGAATGTATTCATAAAATAAAATTTTGTATGTTTTTGGTAGTGTTTTGACTCTAAATCACTCTTAACATTTCGTTTTCCCCTTGATTCAGAAATGCTGTATGAGCTTTTTTTTCCAAACCAAATTTTTATTCACCTCTAGAATCRGAGTGTGTATTGGTATACCTAAAATTCTTGTAGACTTTTGTATTATTCAGATTTATTGCCTGGGAAGTATGCAGGTATCCTGGGAGGCATGGGCACYTCCCATGGGCAGGCAGGYGAGCAGGACGGGGTGAGCATGGGACAGGTTTCAGAATCCAGACAAACATCAGCCCTGAGCCCCTCAGGCCTCGACACCAAACCAGAA